TCAACAGCAGTTCTGACCCTACCATCAGCTACTGTTTTTGTTTATCGACGCACCTCATAAACGAGATGATATTTGGGGATCCATTACTCTATTCTGGGAGACATTTTGCGTACATCTTCATTAATTATCGTCAAAAAATGGACCCGAGGTAAAGGGACGTTAAAAATAGCAAAACGACAAAAACACAGAGTAATATTTTCCCTCAGTCTCGTGGTTTTTACTGGTGAACATGTGACCAGCTCGCTTGTATTTGAGCATTATCTTTGTTGATACCTCGAGTGAACAAAAGATTGGGGACAACTTATGATTACTCTATTTCGTTATTGCCATATAAATCAAGGGTGAAGTACGGTCAAAAAATAATAATACTTACTTTTGCCGGATGAGCGGAATCGAACGTTTAGCTTGTGCCTAGAAATCGTCGACTCAGACTTCGTGAACATCTAATTGTTCGCTAGAATAAAAAAAATACGCCTAGAAAAAACGGTGCGTCCTCGGCCTCGGGGGGGATGTTGAGTGAATGCTCGCTCGCCACCGTTTTTCCTGAGGGGCGATCGGAAGGGGACAACACCTATAAAGATAAAGGATGGAGCGTCTTCGAGATAACACCCGCTTCCAAAAGCAATTGCGTCTCTGTCATGATAAGCGAATCCGCGTAGGGTGTAACGGTTGTAGCGCCATGACCTGCCACAGATTCTAGCTCGTACGAGGTGAGAACGGAGGAGAGGAGGTTCAGTTGTCCCGCCTCCAAGCTCGAGCTTCCTACCCTCGACAACATTTCGGCCGTCTCCTGCTCTTCGAGCGCGCGCTCGCAGCCAAAGCACAACGGAAGGCGTGGGACACGTGTTGGAAAGAAACTCGCTCTGCCGTTATCACACTGACAGTTACAATATCAAAATGTTCAAACTACTGTAACCTCAAATGTTTTTTTGTTTTTTTTTTACATGCAAATTATGTGGGCTTTTAGACTATTGCCAATTTTATTCTTGGTTTAGCAACTTCCATCCTTTCGCAGAAGAGATGCCAATTCAAAATAATATTAATTTGACTAAAAATTATTGTTACGTCAGCATCACGAGGCCCTCGAAAACGCTCAGCGGTATGTCCCTTGTCCCACTTTCCATACATTGGCCAGATAGGAAGCTCCGCGACTGTCCCACGAAGTGCTTCTAAAGGGAGTATTCACTCGTGGCATTAGCTGTCTGCGCGGCTGCTGAGCGCGTGCTGACGGTGAGCTTCCGCGCTATCAAGATTGCCGGTCTTAGCGGGCTATTAATCTGACCCCTTTCTGAGAAAGCGCTCTAAACATCGCCCTCAAATATGGCGTCTAGTGAATACCCCCTATACTTCGTCTTGCCCTAAGCATGGACTAACTGCGAGGCCGTGCAATCGCGAGCGGCTAGCCTTGACTGCTTTATGCGGAGCACTCGCTGCACGAGAGCGCGTGTAGCCGCCGAGGCTTCATTCATAGCAAATAGCTCGCGCTTTTAGCATGCGCGGCTAACAATAGTCCGTGCTAAGGTGAGACGGATAGCCGCCTCGGTGGCTCTGAGGCGAGAGCGCTGGCCTACGGATCCCCCATGTAGCGGGTTCGAATCCCGGCCGAGGTGCCCGTAATCTGACGGAGGCTTATTGAGGAGGAGGCGCCGTGTAACCGAGCTTTCGGTTGCACGTCAAAAGATCCCCAGGTAGTCCAAATGAATCCTCAGTTCTCCGCTGGGGCGTGCCAGATGCTCGTCGTTGGTTTGGCACGTAAAACCCTCAAATTTGACTTTTTGGTGAGACGGAGTATAGGGACGTTACCTGGGCCCAGCGCATTTAGTCACCGGTAGTTTAGGAAAGGTGTTGCTTCAGGATTCGTTCTTTGGCCTCCTTATCAACTCATGCCACCGTCTCATTGGCTAAGAACCTATAATGAGATGAGGAGAGCCAGCCACGTCCCGGGCTTCTTGAATTATCAGTAACTACGGTGGCGGTGACACCTCTCCCTCCGAGCACTCGATATACCATAACTAAATTAAATGGATGCGTCTAAACACTTTTCTTCAGGCGGTGCCTTGCGCCGCGTACCCAATGTTCTATTCTTGTCTGCTAATACATATATTAACAGATGACCCTTTTGTAAAGTTTCCTGTCCGTGCGACGGAAGCGACCTTACGATGCGCGCAACTTCAGTCATAGAGGTCGCCAGGAACGTCTGTTTTCCCTCTCTGCCTTTGAATCTTAGTAGCTTCGCCAAACAAGCATTGCCTTCAACAGATGCAGGTGGAAGCCCTTAATGTACAGCACCACTGAGCCGCTTCTCCACTCCGTACGTGCCACATTTTGAGTATGTGTCCCGATTTCTCGCTCTGTAGTTAGACCCTAGCCGGCTCCACTCACGTTCTGAGCTCGATCAAGAGATGTCGTTGTTAAAACGTTCTTCATGTGGTCTTTGGTATGGGACAGTCTTTTGTGAGTGTATACAGTCTATTTTCCAAGTATTTTGGCAACAGATTTTATTGAGCGCTACATGATGGAGTCTTGGGGCCGCTGTTTTCTTCGGTCACGTGGTCCGACCTTCCCGAGTCAGCTGCTGAAGGGTGCGTTCATAGCAACTGTCCCTGAGCTTATGCTGACGCTGAGTTCCTACCACGTTCGTTCCAATTTCATCGAAGTTGTTTAATAGGTCAAATATGTGCCTTAAAAAGGAGCCTCGTAAGACAGTGCCATATTTGCTCGGCTGGGTGTTTAATGTTTTTGACAAATCAGCTATAGCTAATCCCTGATTTTAGGCCACCTCACTCGACGAGCTCCCAGCGTAGATTATAGAAATTGGCTCCCCCTAGTACTTTCCGGGAAAGTGAGCCTTCCAGATTTTTTTAGAGTGCGTATACTCTCCAATAACCATGATGCTGATGACCACGTATTAACACCTGGTATTGCCACTGCCTCTGGTGGACGTCGGGCTGTTTGGGTTTTGCGACGGGCCTATCAGCATTTCTACCAAGTGCCGGGGTCTGTGTCGAGAATACCGCTGCAATGCGGTTTATGATGGCTGCTGCGCTTGCGTCTGCTGTGGGCGATAGACAAGACGTTACGACTGGTGTGAACCCGGACTCAGCAGTTGAAAAGCCGCTACGGCCTATTTCTCGTTCATTTATATTTGAACTCCGCCATACACAGACAGCCATTTGTTTCTTTATGTGATTCTTTATTGTCGTGGCCTATAAATTAAATTGTTTTTGTAAGCGATAGCTTTATAGGGGAATCCGTCACGGGACCTTGCTTGCTCCCGTTACTCGTACCGCAGAAAGGCCACGGGGGAGCTTCAGCAACGGAAATCAGCTGTCGGTTTGACGCCATAGAGCGCTCAACCAATGGTTTAGCGCCGCGCGGGGTGTGTGCGCCTAGGGGGGGTACGCGGTACGTTTACGCTCACGCTCCCCCCTCCCCCTCCTTTTCCGCGGAGGAACTGTGTAGTAGCGCTATCGCGACTTCATTGCACCTGGCGGAATATCTATGCCAGGAAATTTTTCGGCAAGCAAACCCGGAGTAAGCATGAAGCAAACCGAGAGAAAACCGAGAGCAGATTGCCGGCACGTAATATCCACACCAATTTGCTAAAATCTTTCACCGTAAAAAATATGACAAAAAAGAGATGGCAGTGAGCTTTAATAAGAACATATAATGTATTCCTTTTCAACTTCGTTACGTGTACAAAAAATGCACCAACAATTTTAAAATCAATGCCTCTCAAGTACAAAAATGTATGAGAACGTTAATTTACAACATAAATACGTAGAAAATTACAAACATTTAACCTATAAACGTGTGTATACGCCATAGCTAAAGAATAAATAGTGTTCCACTCTAAATATTTCACGCGTTTAGTTTTCCGCGTGTCACGCTGTGGTTCAATCGCGACGCCCAAGTATACATTTTTTTTTAGGTCTGAGAAGTCATTGATGCAAGAAAAATAAGCATGACGTTTCGCACGCTAAGTCGCTCTCAACATAATGCTGGCCAACTAAAATCAACTAGAATATGTCGGCTAAACAATGTTGGTCACTGTAGTGTTGGATACACGCATGCAGTGATCGGTAACACGTAGTGAATGGCTTTCTTTGTTGTCCTAAGCAGAGACGCCGCCACTTCACTTCGCGCCGTTAGCACAACATGTCGAACGAGTCAATTAATTGGGATGTGGCGTCATGCGTCACCAATAATTGCTCGGCAGTCGCCACCTCTGAAAGACCTCTAAGCTTTCCCAGTACAAAGTTTTTGATTGTTCTAAATCAAGGTACGAATGTACCTGAGGGCTTCAGAAACAGAGTTGCATCTACAACAACAGGGTTTTGAAATGAATTCAATATAAAAGGCAAGAAAAGATGCCAATGAGTTCAGTGATTTTTAAATTTTCAAGCGAACACGTATTGTGTGCAAAGGTAAGGCATGGTCAAAAATTACACTTGATTGTCATATTGACAGGGGCCGTGATATGTATACCATACCATCTGCACAATAGCGTCTTGAGCTGGACCGCGAGTAACCAACCGTACCTATTTTGAGTCCGCCGGTGACGCTGTTAAATACGGCAATATGGACAATTAAATCACCCATTTTCATAACCATGGCCGTTAAAGTCGCACAATTTGGCATAATATCACTACACCCGGTTGTAACATTACGAAAGAAAAGAAACCCTCCATAGTACAGAGCAGAGAACTCTGCCCCGCTTTTGATTTGCACCTTCTTCTAGTCTTACGGTAGATGTAGGCTGCAGCTTCTAACCATCCAGGTATTATTGAGTAGTATTAGAGGATAGTTAACAAATCCTTGTCTTTGATAAGCTGTCAAAGACTAGTACATTGTGCTTGCATCGCAGCGAATGCGGGGTGTCTATTGTGATAGCCAGTTAAGTTCAAAACATGCAAATGTGTTTGACGGCGATTGCCATCAACCATGCCATCACTAGATTCACTGCAGGAATTTCTAAACGTCAGGAATCTTCCGCAGCGTCAGCAGTTTCCAAAGCGAGAAGAAGAGGGGGGTACGTTGGAGTCGCTTCGTATCCTTTCAAACGAGATGGAGGACACTGGTTCATCGATCACGAATGCATTGTTGTCGGCAGCTTGTTCGGTTATTGGTAAGGTCCTGCAAGGCATAGATCAAAGAGCGTGGGTTATTCTAAGGTGGTTATGGGCATAATCTGAGACAACGTACTAGCCTGAAAATAGATGGTAATACAGTTCCCTTAAGATGAACAAAAATTACGATTTAATTATGATTAAACAGCTAAATTTACTGTACGATTGTCAGGCTCATGTTAGCTGACTAAATGAACTTGGTAAATCGTATCTTGTTAGGTGTAGTAATGTTGAAACATTACTCATCTATAGATCATATGACTATTCCCGTGCTCTGAAGCTAAGCAAAACGGCCTGCGACTCGCTGAGTTTTACTCACAATAAGCCCAGCAAGACGAAATGCTACTGTTCGTAGTTTAATAATTGTTTGATAGGCTTTTGAGTTTTAAGACTTCGCTTGAGATTTAATCTTTTTATCTTGGAATAAAAAAAAATCCCTTCATTCAATTATAACGATATATTTTTTAGCCTTACTTTAGGATTTCGGCCTTTCACAAATCATGACATTCTCCAAAAATGAGGCTAAGCCAGGGCTGGGCGGTGGTGTGCTCAGTCCTGGCTACACCGCCAAGTTTCATGAGCTTGCTCAAGCAAATTTTTGTTGCTGTTTGTTTCTACAATAGTCCGGATTAGTAAAGTGGGGCCCAGCGTATAACATCTCCTCTCTTTGGCTATCTTTGGCTACAGAGGGTAACACATGCTGGGCGCTACCATATCTGAGGATGCTGATAACGACAAAGATTGTACTTCAATATTTTTGGTTATTAGTAAACTAACTTAAGACATAAAAGTAAAATTACCTTTGCTTTTTGCTTTCCAATTGCCCCGAAGAAAACAACGGGCAGAAGCACAAGGCTTGGTCGAGTGCGAAATTTTCACCTTCCTCGATGCTTTGGGGCAAGGCTTGGTTCATAGTGTCCGGCAACAAGAACAGCATCACAGTCGCTATCATGGATAGGCTTCCCATGACAAGAAATGGGGCGTAAGTGTCATACTCCGCCTGAAAAAAATAATTGCACGGTAAATAGCTCACGCCAAGTGACACTTTTGTGTGTGTGTGTTTAAGGGGGGGGGGGGGGGGAGGGTTCACGTCATAATGTGTCCGATTCCATATGACGCCTTTCAGGTAACCGGTAAAATATGTTTTTACCACATGTTCCTTTCAAAACTCACACTATTTGAAGCTGTGAAAGAGAACCCATTTTACAAAAACGCCTATTACCGCTTTGGCTGTTTGTTTCAGTACAACGTACCCTAGGTTTGCAGCTCTCAAGTTAGGGAAGCCCCTCTGACGAGTGAAGTCGAATATTGCTCGGGCGAATTTCGGTTGAGCGTCAATACGCTTTCTCGCCTTGCTCGCGGACGCTAAGCTCGCAAAATTTCATTGATGGAGAAAAAAAAAAAAAAATCGGGGAAAGAATAACAAACACAGGAAAGCTAAAAACAAGACAAACTTTTTTTCACTTTGATGGGACATCGCGAGCTGCATTTTTTTTTTTTTTATTTAAGCTTGTTTTCGTATTTCAGACGCTCTGTTACCGCGCGTGAACAGACGGAGAGAGACACTTGTAGACGACCGTTACTCGAGCATGATCGAACACTACAGGAGCGCTTTGTGCTCGATGCCAGCATTACATGGTCGTGTCCAGGGTGTAATGTAGACAGGTAGGGAAACGGCCCATTGAAGCCTACCGCAGCGCCGTGACCGGATTGTGTACTCGTCTGCTTGCGGGTACCCCCGATTTGCGACAGATGGCGCTGCGGCGAGAGGAAAAAAATTGGAATCGGATTTGCACGGAACTCTATGGGAGAATGCGCAAAATAAACCGAGAGCACAACAGTCCTCCATTAAAAATCCACGAGAAACCATCTCCGTCAGTTTAGCCGGTCGCCACCGGTCGCCCACCCGGAGTGAGAGTTCGCGATGTTCCACATAGATGGCGCCACAGAAAAAGAGAAAACCGAGGAGGACACAATCCGGTTCCTCATTTGGCTCTCGTTTCCCCACCTGTCTGTCTTACACCCTGTTCGTGTCTTACATGCGAGCTCGCGCCCCCTGGCCGAGAGAAACATGCCTATCATCACTGGCAGCTAGCTTAACTTTTCATGCCCAGTACTGCCCAGGAGCAATAACTCAAGAATTTTTTAATTTCTCCCGCGCCATGTGTGCCTCAATAAATTTAGAGCCGTCTGTCGCGAGGGTGAGAATAGCTGCGCTTAGCAGTGAAGAATCGAATTGCTCCTTCAAAACAGATCACTTGCCCTTTAATATTAAAGCTGACAGTGGATGTGAGGTATGATGGCTTGCTCCACTGACCTTGAAACTCTGAGGAGTAAAACAGGCGCGAATATTGCAAATCCAGTGAGAAGTGCCCCTGGTGTCCGAAACCGAAAGTGCACGTGGGCCTTCTCCCAGGTAGTAACTGTTTTCAGTCATTAGATGTAAAATAAGGCTGCAAATTGTCAATGCTGCTCACGAACAACATTTCAAAAACATAATTACGAAAACAATTTTTTTTTTTGTTCTGGGATCAAATTTCTGTTATTTTGCACGTTCTAAACCCACACCAGGGTTTCTCGTAGGTCTGCAGTATTTTAAGTAAAGTTTCGGGCATCAAAGGGTTAAGAAACGCGGGACTTGCGCTAGGTGGCGCAAGCTACCGCCCGTTACAAAGGGCAGCGAGTCCCGAGGACCTTTTTATATCTCCATAGTCAATGAGGTTGTGACAACAGCCGATGAAAACTCCAACAAGCGCATCACGAAGCAAGAAGCCTAAGCACGATAAGCCACGCCTCGTGTTTCTCAAGCTGTAGGAGAATACTACGGCGTTGAGCGACCCGGTTTCGCTCCAAGCCTAAACAAAATGTGACGCGGTTGTTACGTCTTTACCAGAGACGCCACCTGGGCCCCCATGAGGCCCCCGATGTCCCCCAGGAGCCTCTGAAGGAGCACTACCCTGCCCCGGATGACCGTCGGAAAGATCTCGGTGGCCAGCTGGTAGGTGATGTTGTAGGTGCCCGCGTACGTCATGATGGCCACCACTGCCATGACGAGGGTCCACACCTCGGATTCTAAAAAATAATAAAAAAAAATATGAAAGGGTGTTTCTTTTGTTTGTTTTTTAAGGTGTGTGCGAATAGTGGTTCTGATCGAATAGTGCTGCGTCATTTGCATTTCCAACGCTGGCAGGTGTTGAAGCAATACCACCTAGAACACAAGGCCTGCGCGTTTCCTCCTCTAAACGTCATCACTAGTAGATCCCCTCAGCGCCCCCTAGCTAGCCCGGATGAGCAACATCGTCTGCTCCATTGACTGCTTCAGTGGTTTGTGTAGCAGATAATGAAACAGATGCTCATGTCGGGTGTCTTTTGCTACAGCATACGATGAAGTTACACGTTCACGTGCGAAGGGCCGCAAAGCCCTTTGCTGGGCGCTGGACGCTGGCACTGGACGCCATTTTTGAGGGTGCTGTTCATACTCCGTTCATTCCTAAGCAGAGAACGCAGCCAATGCCAGAAGCACGAGAGCTCGAGGTGGCTGCTTTGAAGCGTTCTTCGGCAGAACGAGCGCGCGCTCGAGAAATGCTCGTCCCAAAGCCAGGAGTGCGTGCTAGCCGGCTCTGGCCGGCGCTTCTGGCCGAGGGAGTGTTCGCATGCACTTTACGAATGACCTGCAAGCTCGCTATCAGCTCGCGCTCAGCAGACGCGCACGCAGCTGTGGCCGCAAGTGAATGCGACGTAGTTGACCGTGTTTCAAAAATTACAAGATCTTACTCCAGGATAAGGTGTTCATACCTTGGCGTTCTAAAACCTACCCGCGTCCAGCGTTTTTCAATATCTGTCTTGTCACGTGACACGACCCGTCGGAGTAACTCGGATCTGTTTGGTAAGATTTGGAACGCAGCCGTACTTCTGAAGCGGCCCACATATACTCTCGTCAAGCTTCGGGGTGTTTGCCGCTTGGGGCGGGTCGGGGATCTACTAACGAAGCGTCATGCGCAGGCCTTGTCTTCTAGGTGGTATTGGTTGAAGCCGTCGTTCTTAAAGTCCCCAAATAAAAACTTACTACAAGGGGCGACATTCTTTGAAACGCCGACTGCATGAAGGTGCAGGTTTTAGGAAAGAAATGGTGGCGCACAGCAGAGGTTTGAACTGAATGCCGCCATTTTGTTGTAGCGGAATGTGCTTTGTCATTTTTATTGGTTGTCATTACTTGTAAAAGAAGTATCAAGGGACTTTAGTCGTGCCGTGTTTTTTCCTTGCAGTGCTGAAGCTATAAATGACGCACGCATCACTTTTAGATTCAAGCCCTTTTTCAGGCAGTATCTTCAGCTTGGTACAAAATGTGAGCAGTCCACCCACACCTCCTAGATAACGAAGCTATTATAGTGCTGAAGTTTCCACGTCACGCACCAGAGGCCAGCACAAAACACCGATTGGACACGACTGTGACTTCAGCGTTTGGCTGGGATTCGTGTTCAATCAGTGAGAGCACGAGTTCCTGCCGAACAGTGACGTCACAGTCGTGTCCAATTTGGGCTTCGAGCTCACCTCTGGTATACCCGACGTAAAAAGTAAAGTACTACGGGTCTTAGAAGGGGTTGAATCCACACGGCCGATAGCTCTTATTGGTGAACCTTGATGGGATTAGAGTAATAAAATATAGAATTCAAAAATATCCGACGCAGAATAATAAGGGAGGCGAGGTAGAAGGCGCCTTCTTTATGACAATTAGGTTTGTGACTGAGTGATGTTTTCAGTTGGGTTGGGGGGGGGGGGGGGATGAAAGTTTAGATGAAGGAAAGAGGGGAACAGATCTCACCGGTGCGTAGGAAGCCCATCAGCAAGCAGGCAGAGCCAGCAAAGAACATAAACGTGACATTGGGCCACCGCCGACCTAATCTATCCAGGGATAGGATGCAGATGACATTCACCGGGAATTCAAAGGCGATGGCGATCGAGTAAGTTGAGTAGAGGTTCAGGCCGAGTCGTCCAAGCTGGAGGGTACTGGCGTTGTAGCACAGAGTGACCACGAACCTAAACAAAAACAAAAGTCACGTGGATCATCACCCTCGTGATATTTGCATTTCAACGTTCGGGGATGGTTTGTTGTTTTTCTGCTTATTTATTCGTTCGTGTTCTCTTAATTTCAAATTTTTTTTTATAATCTTTAAAATAAATTATTGCCCAAAATGTAGAGGTATCTTGCGATTTGTATGTTAATGCTTTTATTTGATTAAAAATGTGGCTCATGAATTTAACGATTAAGGAACAAATGAGTTGTGCTCGTGGCTCGTTTTATTTTACGGCTCTATTTTCTTCGATGAAACCTTACGAATGCGTTATATAAGATCGTCTGTATCCATTTCACTTGGAGTCTGACCACAGCCGGCACCGCAATTCGATGGAGCCATTAAAGCGGGGCCAAAGGTGCATTGTCACGTTGCCCGTTGTTTTCGTGGGCATCACCGGCTAAAGCAATAACACATACAACAACAACTACAAACAAAAAAAAAGGGAAGCGCAGGATTACGGCAGGGCATTCGCTGTGCTCGATTTATTTAGTTAGTGAGAGCGTACGCAAAAAAAAATGCGATAAACACTTAGATGACACACTTTGGCACTGGTCCGTCGGGCCGTGGCGTCGGCTTTGGTCGAACTCGAAGTGAAGAGGAGCTATAGATTTTTATTGTTCAGGAAGGCAATACAGTCATCCAGTCGGAGAATATAGCAAACGGTGTATCTCTATTCGCGATACCAGCGACCTATAGGGGACGCCACTGTCGGGACTTCGGGTGCAGCTCTATCTTTCCCTGAATGTAGGTTGCAGGCACGAACAATTTTGGAGTACCTAAATAGCTCTACTTTTAAGGTTGGATGACAAAACGCGTCAGTAACACAGAAAAGAAAAAAAAAAAACATACACAGAAAGCACTAGAAAAATATCATTCTTGCCTAAAACTGCGAAAGTACGAAAGGGCTGAAAAAAAAAAACTTGTGGTATCATTATTGCAGATTTTATAGCAATAATTAATTTGTGAAAAAAAATCGCCAGCGTTTTTGTATCACCCGAAAGTCGAAATGAGGTCGAATAAAACGCGATTTTTTGCCTTTATCTCGAATAAAAATAGGTCCCAGTTTTCTTCGAACTGTTTACTACCATTACCACACATTTCTGCGACGTCATTCGCCTCTATTATACAAGGATATTTCATCGTTAGGAAACGCTAGAAGTCCTGCACCGCGAGCACGTAGCATAAACATTTTAACGACCTTTTACGCAGCTCCGTGTGTTGACCCATCTTGGTGCTACGAAATGTTTATGCTCGCACGAACGAACCACGTTATCTTTTCTTATATAGCCCCATGTCAAGGTGAAACAATGTGAGCGATTATCGGGAAGACTGCGCTGCTTACCGCACTAAAAGTTTATACCGCCTGGCGGTCAAAATAAAATACGAACCTCTGTAACTGTTTGAGGAAGTGTGGAGGAACTGAAGAAACACAAAGCGTGGCAAGTTCGGGGCGTTATTATTAATTCAGTGTTAATCACACGTTTAATTCGATATCTAATGATTAATTTATCTCATTATTAATAACCCGTATACTGTTCTATTTTCATAAGTGTATAACTTGCACTTATGTTTTGTGCACCGCACAGTAAGACAGCGAGGTTGTTTATGGTCACAGAAAACATTATTATTATTATTATTATTGTTATTAGGTTCACGATGTAAGAAGGGTGAACCTAATACGCCCAACGTTTTTTTAAGCTACACTAACTTTAAAGGACCTCAGTATTCTTCCGAGTCTTGAAGAAAAATAAATTGTGTTTACGAGCCCAAAGTCTCTTCAATACGTACCAGGAAAGGTAGATCAGGATGGTTATTTTTCGAATGCGTGGAGATTTTAGTATGACTAGGGTGCTCTCAGTAAAACTCATGTTTTTCCTTTCGGTTGCTGCTCGTAGTTCGGTGCCCGGCGTCGGACCGAGCTGCGTACAAAAAAAAAAAAGATAGAATTATGTTAGCGTTTAATAACTAATGGATAGGTAAAGAAAGGGAGATAGAAGAAACATGAAAATTCAGAAGCAGTAAAATGAATAAATTTTTACTGCATTCGCGCAAAGAAAGAAAAAAAAAGCAACAATTCATTCATACTGCTGCAACGGTATGCAAAATTTCCGAAACTTGATATTATTTTTTTTAATATCTAGTGAAGTTCGTTTAGACAAAAAATTCCAGCAATACAGTTCTTGGCAATATGTACACACATCGCCATACCAGTTTCAACTTATATCACTCAGAAACGGCTAATATGACAGCTTGCCATCGGTGGCGATTACACTGTATGCTCGAATAAGATCCCAGATTTAAGGAGATCTGTAGCTTCTTAAATTTTATTGAAAGAAGTGTTGCATTTTTGTTTTTATAGCTATCGTCGTTACCTGCAAGAGTTTCTCGAGGTGCTCTTGTGACATCTCTATACCGTTGCTGCGTGCTATTCTCTGAAGAATAGTGAGCGCTTCTTTTGTCCGGTTCACCGCAAGAAGCCAGCTAGACGATTCCGGCACCCACCTGTAAAGGGAGAGAAAGCAGACGACTCTCTAATAACCTCCACATCGGCATGTTCAAATGCTTTCATACGTTGGCATTCACCCGAACAGACGTCATAATGTGATTTTCTTTGCTCAAAGTTAGTGGAACGTTAGTCACATCTTTGTCATTTCTTTTGGTTGAAAAGCAGCCATGAAACGGTGGATGGATATGTCATTTTTTCGTGTTTCGCTTACCAAAAATGTATACGATAGAAAAACAAAAATAAACCAACATGCATAAACATAATTGAATTCTTAAATTACGTTACCATGGATTGTATGATAATTTGGTCACCTCAATTATTTTGGCCACAGACTCTGAGTGATCGAGAAATAGGAATATATCGTACGGCTAAACGTCTACAAGGTGCATTTGTACCGTGCGTGTGACAGTACGTGCATCTACTCATCGGTTTTTATCTTCTTGTGTGAGCTCCTTTTGTTTTCTCGAATAATGTTAAAAAATATATCTTCGCCCTACCCCTCATTTTCCATCCTCTAATTTATTTCATTTTCTCTCTAATTTTTGGCTCCTGTTAAATAGTATTTTGGACAGAATTAACGGAGAACGATTCCAGCAACCACAGCAGCTATTATCTTTCTTTGAAGCGGACAGTTATGAAAGAAGTATTTCAGACTACCAATAAAGGCAAGGTTAAGTATTGCGGTCTATGTTCGGCCTCAAATATTTTATGCCACATTTTCGAGGCTAGCGTTTGCAACTCCAACACCCTGTAGATGGCAGGGCGGTTCGTCGCAAGATGGCGGAAGAGACGGGGATATATTTTCGAAGATTTCGCGTGCGCCTGCTCGCTGACGCTGGTCAGTGCGCCAAGATCAATTAATTTGGCTACAAACACGAAGCAATCAGAGCGGGAGCACATCACAGGTGACGGAGATTTGGACGTGCGTTAAGGAAATTAACACGTCGACTTTTAAAAGTTACGGAGCAGAACAAAACAATTCCTATTTTAAGGCACACGCTTTTATCGTTAAAACTGCATAACGCACGAACATGCCGACCAGAACCTTGTGGTAACAGCAGCACCAAGGCCGACAATCTCTGCCACCGTTTCCGCCGCCGTCCCCGCTCCTCTGGTTCTTCTTTCGTCCGCGAGAGGACGAGTGACGGGCTGGAGTTGTGACTTCAACGGAGCATCGAGGAAACTAGGCTAGCCTTGACAACGTCGCACGGAGAAGTCGACGCCGAGTGTACGGCAAGCAAGTGTTCAAAAATGGGTCTTTTTCTCACCGGAACGCGAAGAGAGACACGCCGATCAAAGAGCAACATAGAGGACGCGCAGAGAACATGCGATGACAAAACGGCTGAGCGCGAGCGTTCATTGGCTGAGGTCGGTGGAAAATAAAATCACCTGTACTCATTTTGCGACTAAACAAGGGCAGGAGGTGCGAGAGTAAGGAGCAGACGAGCTTGCTCGCCGTATAGCTATACCTCGTTTCAGCTTAAGTCCAGACGCAGCCGACGAGATGAGGGAGTGGGATCAATCAAGGAGCATCTAAAGCGCGAGTCACTAGGCCTTTCTAGTTCATGAATGGTCCAGCGATTATAGAACACGCATAGAAACATGAGGGACACCATGCTGGATGGTGCGCTCTTGACACTGTCTCGTTGGTCCCATCAGCTCGTAGCGTCACCTGCGTTTGGACTCGGGGTGAAACGAAGTATAGAATAATTAGAGATAATTGCCAATATAGGGTCTTACCACAGCGCTATGACGAGTAGCACATCCACGCCGATGTTTGTGGCCACGAGCATCCTCCAGCTCTGCAGGAGATACCCGTACCAGGGCAGCACGGCTGCCATGATGGTCCAACTCATGGCCCAGATGAAAGAGATGAGTGTCCTCCTGTCCGACACGGTGTACTCGACCACTGCGAAGCAAGTGGAGCCAATGAATTAACGACAGAAGAAGACCGTTAGTGCTTGCCTATCATTAGAAAACTTCAAAAGTTAGCCGTATAACTAGCTATGCTCATGTGAAGAGAACCGATGGTATACCTGTATATTTTTGAGAAAGTTAATAACGTTAACTATCGAGCTGTAATCACGATCCCGGGAAGAGGACCGCTAATGACTACTTATCATTAGAAAACGACAAATGTTCAGCATGGAACTCCTCATGCTCCTAGGTGAAGGACTAGTGGTGGTGGTGAATTCATATTTTTAGAGAAGTACAAACGTTCAGCATACAACTAGCTATGTTTCTTGGAAAAGGAATGGTGGTGGCTGTCTATGCTTAGAAAACTACAAGCGTTTCCCATAGAACAAATCATACTTATGTGAAGAGGACATGTTGTGACTGGCCATCTTTAGAAGCCTACAAACTTTCACCGTATAACTAATGATGCTACTGGGAATAGGACTGGTGTTCAGTGCCTATCATTAGAAAGCTACAAACGTTCACCATAGAACAAACCATGATCGTTGGAAGAGGAACCGTGGTAACCACCTATCTTTAGAAAACTACAAACTCTTTATAAGACTAACCACGCTCCCATTTTGAGGACTCGTGGTCTCCGCCTATCTTTAGAAAACTACGAGCGTTCACTATAGAACAAACGATGTCTCTGTGAAGTTCCAGTTGCTATCAACTTAAAACACTTTTTTCATTCATCATTTTTTCACTGTTCCATGAATGGTTGCAACGCGGGGAACGAGGCAATTTCACCACAGTATATGAAAGTAGACAAAGAAATGTTTACAAAAAGTCACTCATTCATGGTTAGATGTGGTGCTACATTGTATTGACAATTTACGTGCTCCGTAAATTATCTATGATTAAATTATCACCGGGATTTCGGTAAATGCCGCTAAACCGCGATAAGTAATAGCCGAGTTGGTTTTATCCAAATAGGGAAAAACGAAAAAACAAAAAAAAACAAAAACAAAAAAAAACAAATTCAAGTTGTCATGGAGTCAGGCACACCCAAGCTTCACGTAAAGAGAAGTCTTTATCTACAGGGTATTTTGTGTGGACCCCAACACAGCCCCCCCTAAACTGCCCGCGAGGCGGTTTCTTTCTTCGGGAGGAACGATATGTCCTGTACCGTTAACCTTCCCTTAAAAGTACCGCGATGATTTCAAAGCATCCGGATCACGTGCATGTTCCTTGGAGCTTGGAGAGTCTGACACCCGTGCGCCGTTTCCTTCAACATAAGCGCCGATAAGCGCCGATTTATTTTTCAACACCAAATATTAAGACAAATAAACAAAAGTACAAAAAAAAAAACAAAAAAAAAACACCACAGTTTTCAGAAAAATAAACTCCGTACACACGAAAGCCGCGGTCCCTTTGCTAATACATAACACAAAACAGAGTGTGCAGACATTTTCTGCAAACATGTGCGAAGCATACATATGTGTGAAGCAAAACATGCTTCGATGTGCCTGTGGCGTGTCCACAGACATTTTCGTCATTAAGTCTGCAACGAACACTGTTGTATTTAGCATGATACGCTGCAGGGTAAAAGTAACATAATAATCTTTTTGTAAAACACACAAATTAAAAAAAAAATTTCCGCGTAAAACGCAGTTTGGCATGCAAAGGCGATGCATTTCCCGAGTTTTGCTTCGCTGCCACAACGTTAGTGCTATGCCTTTGTTTATTTTATTTTTTTTTGTTCTGGCTTACCGACCACGAAGACCGTGGTGCAGACTGTGTACGCTCCGATTCCGGCGAGAAAACGAAGCACGGCGTAGGTGCTGAAATCCGTCAGGAACATTCCGAGGAAGTTTCCCGTCACCCCGACCGCAACGAGCATGAGAATCGTCTTCTTCCTCCCGATTCTGTAATAGAAACGGCACGTGTCTCGGCTGCGTCGAATCATACCTGCAGCTGCTCTAGACTTCGTTACACCTGAAGTGGAGACGCAACCGACGGTATACACGTGCTGATGAGACCGATCCGACAGTGTCAAAAGCGGCCCATCACCCTGTTTGTCGTGTTTATGTATACGTGTTCTGACATCGCTGGATCAATCAAACAGAAAGAAAAGGGCCGGTGACAATCGCTTTTGAAGCCGCTCGTTCGGGCTCATTAGCTTGTAGCGTCGGCTGCGTTCAGACTTAAGCTGAAATGAAGCATTGTCATTATCTGGGTTTTCATGAATGCGATCGTAGAGCATCTAATCAAGCGGTAACCAATCTCGCGCACCCTGTTTCTCTACTTCTTCCTTTTCTGCGCATCCATTAAGGATCAAAATAGGCGAATCTCGATACGATTTGCTACGGTCCCATTCATGAAACGAAGCCACCGGCATCCTGACAAACGCAGGGGGTGGCTATTTATTACGTGATCGCGATTTGTTTGGCCGACGTCCTTATCGACTAATGCAGCTCTCTCATTGACTTGGGACTGATAATAAAATTTTCGAACACCAGCGACTACAACGCGTATTTTATAACTTCTTTTAAACACGCTCAAGAACAACTTAAATCCTGCCGTCGATTCACTTTTTTTTCTTTTTTTTTTTAATTTTCCCGTCACATTTTAGCATCACCTCGAGATTTCAACGTTGACCATTTAAGGGCGCCGACGAAGGAATCCGGAAGCAAGAAGCGTGAACGCACTGATTCACTCCCTGCTTTTCGTAGGACCTCGGTGACCTTATAATCGGTGACTTAGCGAATGCGACGCTTGCTCACCTATCAGCCAGAAAACCGGAGAGAAGGTATCCCGTCATAGACCCTGCCCAAAATGCCGTGTGCACGGCGTACATCTTCCAGCTGTCGCCACAGAGCCACTGGTTCTAGAGGGCGGAACAAAGGAAGCGCGTTAAACTGAGAATTTGTTTGCGCTTATCGTAACTTGAGCGCGTATATGGATTACGAACAATGCAATTTGAAATAAGTGTTGATGGTCTATCGTAGAAATTAATATATAAAAAATAGCGTTTGCTTCTGTCTGTGACATCGTATGACCAGTGGTCAAAGGCATTCAGAATCTCTATTTCCATCCCTACACAAACCGCACCTCTTACGTTTTATGCTACGGTTTTTAGACCTCCCAAAACGTGACTCGTAAAAAAAAGTAATAACCGCCATAAACATGGCGTCGTAGGCGTCTCAAATGAACAGAAAACTAAATGCGACCATAAAAAAGAAACGGTGCATAAATTGTCAAGCATCGATTCTCTGTATCGTTAAAAAAGGAGGAAAAAAATATTAAAAATTTGGTTTCGAGCTGCACCCTGCACTTTAATCTCCAGAGGCAAAAAAAGAAAAAATAAGCGAAGTGTACGCTCAGAGTGTAGACCGTATGAATAGGCATGTGCGCTATCTTTATGTATCTACACAAAGGTATCAAACTACACGGCTTGCATTTACTTCATATCAGCTGCCATTGTTGTAGGCTTGCTGCTGAGCGCTTAATTTCTACAGCGTATTTTTTGCACTACCGCCTTCGTTTTTCTGTCAAAGAACAAGTATACGGATGACCACTCGCATGGTGCGATGACAACACGCGCAAAATGCCGAGTCACTGAACAATAGACTCATCCGCGTATAGTTATTTTAAACATACTTTTTTTTGTTCTAGTCTGCAGTAGCTTTGTTGCACACATTGCTTAGAGGGTTTGAGGGCAACGTCCGTAACTTTCCTCGTACCTCCATTGTTAGCGTAGTGAAGTACTCCTCGTTGTCATACTTCCAGCCAGTTGGACACGTCACGCGGTCTTCATCAAGGAGGGTGACGTTCGAATATCCACCGTCTGGAGACGGCACCATCATCATGCACTTTCCTCTCGGAAGAGACGACGTGTCCACGAAGGTCGAAGTGGTGTCGTTGAGGAAGCACCATTGGCTCGGTGGGGCGATGAGTATGAACAGGTGAAAGAAGTAGCACATGGTTGTATGCCAGGTTCCCAAGATGAGGGTGCCGACCATGATCGTCTTGTTGAAGAAGCCGAAGCCCCCGATTTCCCTTAGCACTCGCTCAAAATTCATGGCGGCTGCTTTGCGGTTGTTGGTTATCTGAAATAAAACGTTGGCAAAGGAACCGGACGTTCATTTATCCCATTGTCTTCTATGCTCGCTGACAGCTTAGACAGCCTTTTGCTTCACAGTTCGTTCTTCTGCGCTCTTATCGGCTAATGCTTCAATCTCTTTGACTGCTGAGTGATATTAAGATGTTCGCGAAACGGCACGCCTCGCGTTTTATAACTTGTCGGTGGCTGTAGTTCCTCGGTTACATAGTTGCCGCCGTTTACCTCGAGCAAACTAACGGCATATGCACCGTTCCAGCTGTATCGGGCATGGTAAATATCTCGGAAGTCAAGTGTGTTTCAGCAGATAATCAGCTGTCCTTTGCACAAGTCAATAGATAACCTCGAGTGTTTGCCCCAGAGGGATTTTGCGGCCTAGTTGGTTGCAACATTAAAGATCAACTTAATGATGGGCGAAGGATTGCGCTCAAACTCAACCGCATTACACAAATCTACGTCTCGCACAATCGTCAATTGTTTCACACGTACTGGCGATTTGAGTGTGTCAATACCGTTCCCCGCTGAGCTGGAAACTGCCTTATGACTTCGAAGTTTTCTTGGAATTCAGGTTTGGTGTTTTTATCTCATGTTTGCGTTCGCCTCATGTTCTATACCCTAATCTTCCGGAAGCCACATTGTCATATGATATCGAGACTAACGTTTTTTATAAGACTATATAAAGAGTATCGCTCAGCTTACGTGTCCATTGGAATTTAAACATATTTTACTATATATAAATTCAGGAAAAAAAACGATATGACCAATAGCAGGTGACCGCGTATCTTTATGATGTTTTACTTCTCGAAATACCTATGGTAAATTAAACAACTCTCCTGTTTCTTCCACTATTTTTTTTTATTATTATAACGTTTCAAATGATTACCCATAAGAAGTAGTTTGCTAGAGAAAATTAAACAAAATATTTTTCCATACAATCCTTAGAGCAGCAGTACACGGTGTGCTTTTTTATGGTAAAGTCTTTAGTGAAATGGCCGCTGCCATTTTCATATGTTTCGTTGTGTTGTTCTCGTTTTATAGAACAAACAGCTATGTACGAGCAGACGTTACGGTATAGGTAGGATTAGAACCACTACATGAGCTGCGCTTAGAGTTCCGGCACTCCGTTCCCCGACGTTGTTGTGGGCGCCGCCATTTTGGTGCTTGTGCAGAGCAGACGCAACTGCCGATCGTTATGATTAAAAGTGCGACTTCCTCAACATTAGATTTGGTGTTAGGAGGCTCATATAATATTGCTTTGTTTTGTCGCGACTTGTTTAAACATTTATGGAGGACGAAAAATCGTTTTATGTGATTTCAGATAAAGCTTTACATAACTGGCAACCATGATTATAATCCACAATATTGCCAAGTTTCGTTACTCTGAATCAGGCACGTAGCCAGGATTTTGTTTCGGGGGGGGGGGGGGGGGGGGGGGGCGCCGCCCATCACAAAATGCTGTATGAGGGAGAGAGGGGAGAGGAGGTCCCAGCAAAATTGAAGATTTTGGGGAGTGAAGCCCGGGCCCCATGGCACCCCCCCCCCCCCCCCCCTGACTAAGTGTCTGCTCTGAATCATAGCTTATTTAGTGGCACTAGGTAGGATACCATCCAATTTGAGTTCAAGTGCATCTTATATGACGTCAAATACAACGTTTATTTACAAAAACAAAGCAAACAAATTTTTGTTCGAAATGACAGCTATCAGCATACATTTTTAATGCAAATCCTGTTTTTAAGACAAAAATGTGACAAGGCTTTTTGGGTGCCAAACTCCGAACAGAATATTTATAAATGACTCTATTGTCTTATTGTACGATGATCAAGAAGACGGAGTGTGCCAGGGGAGCGCGTGGCCTAGCGCATATACAGTGACTTATCCCAATCTAGGAAATACATCACGTCTACACTTCCGTGCAAAGCTCTCTAAAGATGAAATCGCTGCAACATACTGAGGGAAATTCGACGAATGACGACGCTAACAATTTTTTTCATACCTAAGAAAAGACAAAAAAACAAACTGCGCTGTGGCACTTTGCATGACGTAAGCAGATGACGCGTCATGTTCAGCCAACACCACCTAGACAGAAGGCCTCCGCACCGTCATCACAGCCAGATCGATCGAGGCCTGAGATTGGGCACAAGTGCTGTGTCAGTGCTCGTCTGTGGCTCGTGTGCAATCAGCGCGTCGAAGGTCGGGTTCGGTCCAATAGCCGAGTTAGCGCCATCCGACTGCGATGAGCTTCCATGAAGGGAGAGGAGGCCATTGGGAGGCTTTTATAATTCTAGGTGGTGTTGGTTCAGCTCCTTCCATACTTTGCAACGATAAGCCCTTCCAAATGCGGGAATGTAGAGGCACCCAACCTTTTTGGTGTCTACATGGAATAGAATACTTATGGAACCTCATGCAGAAAAACAATTATCAACATTTTAGTCAAAAAACGCAGGGTGCGACTTATTCTGTACGCGCTTCTTATTTCGTGATTCGCTCTTCGACGTTTTCATAGGTTGATGCGGCAATCTGATTGGCTACGGAGAGATTATGCGGAACGCAAGTTCGTCTGCAGCTTGTTTTGAGGTCTACCCACTATCCATCAATCAGAACCAGTCAGAGCTCGGCGTTCTGACGTCACCACAACCCCGCAAAAGAAGCAGACGAACTTGCGCTCCGAATAGGGTGCCCGGGACTCGTCACGCCTTGCGTTTTCTAAGCTGTCAGTGACTGTACGGGTAGAAACTGGAGGAAAGGAGGAGATGAAAGCGCGCGCGGATGTCAAAGCACCGAGCTCTGGTCGGAATGGTTAGTGGGTAGACGTAAAGCTAGCTGCCTTTTTCTTTACACACTGTTCGAACACGTTCAATCAGTTACGGTGTTCTGACGTCACCCTCCGCGCGAACTGGTCTCCTCGTCTCCTCCAGTTTCTAGCCGCCAAGAAAGAACATTTTCCTCCTGTATATTCGCTAAATCCTCAAGCTCGCGTTAGGACTAAACGACTCGATGGACAGAGTTAGCAAAAGACGTCACAGTCCATTAACAGCTTACATGTTAAGTGCTCTTGGATGAAACGAGTCTCTTCTCAATCGACGGTTGGCCCAAATCCTATCACCCCGTTCGCCGGAGCTACTCGGAGCACCGACTGAAGGCGTCCCGCAGCAAACCTCCGATAATCTCTGGTCATTTGTCGAGAAACAGGGAAGTATTTCTCTTGCACAATAGACCGCCGTAAAGATAAAGACCCTAAAGTGATACACGGCGTTCCTGCTCAGTAGATGAACTCGGACGGACCTTGAGCGAGCTTGGGATTATTGCCACGCGTTGGGGAGGGATTACATTTGCCTGCACTTTAAGAGGCGCTTGTGTACGAGCTGATCAAGTTGACGTCAAATGATGTTAAACTTCTGTTCCAAGAAAAACAAAAAGTAGCACGTTCTTGGCGTGGGAAAGAAAGGGAAAAAATAAGCCCTCCCGTGTTAATTGACCCCGTACGTGATCACGTCAAAGCATGGCGCTCCGCTCAAGACAAACCGTTGCTAGGGCCGTTGATATGAACATATGCATCGGGGCTCGACGTGAGGTTAGAAATTGTCTGATAAAAAAGTAATTTTTTTTGTAAGCTTGTGTGTTGTCAATATCTAATAATGAAGACGCTTTCTATCGTCCCAGTATCATAAAGCGACGACAAAAACCCCATAATAAAGCTGGTTGGCTACACCTTCCGACGCTGCTCCGGACGCCATTTAACAATACGTGGTCCCAACGCGCCCGGCCACTCGACTCGGTCGCCTGCGCCGTTTACTCTGGCAAGTTTTTTGGCACTACTTTTTACAGAAAGCGAGCTACGCTTTGTAATTTTACACAATAAAACCAACCTGTGAAATACACCTTTGACGTAAAGTTTCGATTGCTACGTGAAGGCGCCGAATTTTTACGGCTCATTTTAGATCGAGCCTGGTTATGTCAGACACTCTACTACACTCGACATCTCGAACATTCGACCTAGAATGTTCCAGACTGACTAGACAAGGTCATTCTGGCCTCCTTATTTTTACACTCGAGGTAAGAGCAAACCCGGATATTCTAGATGTAAGGAGAACCGTTCCTTTTTCGTAATGCACGCAGAAATATAATTTAAACGATGTTATTATCCAGCTCCTTCGCTATTTGGGGTCTTAATTGAAACTGAGAATCAGTTGGATTTTTTTTTTCAGTGTGATGATTACAAGCAGGTACGAAACACACATCCATATTTTGAGCCTGAAAAACCAAGCTTGGAGTTTTAAACAGCTCACATCTGAGCCAAAATAATTCCTCCTTCATTACAACGCATGTCAGCTACAGAATAAAAAAAAAAGTTGGTGACGCTGTTTTGATACCACGTTCTAATCATACGCTTTTTCTCGCTGTATTTTTGTCAGACAATGTTGCATCGCACGCCAATACCATTCGCTTTTATAAATCTGTTGAGGTTGCTCAGACCTGCCATGTTCCAAATAATTACAAAATCAAAATCGGATCATTGTACAGACAATTAAATCTGTTGCAGATGGCATACTTCAGTCATTCCCTGTGCGTTCTTCATGCGTTCGTCGTCTGCAGCAGGCATCTCGAGACGCCTTTAGGACCGGAAGATTTTGTCGCAAATATTTAAGAAACAGCCGATTCTCGGCGGCCTTCTGTCGTGGAAAGTGTAAAATCTAGGCTCCCTTTATCTATTATTTTTAGACGTTTGAACTCCGCGCCCAATTTTCGATCAATCGTTCTTTCAGAGCGAAATCAAGTCCCATGTCTTCGTCCGTAACAACTTCCCTAGCAACGGTTTGTTCGAACAGGCGACGTCACACTTACAAAGTCAATTCAGAATGACGAAGAATTTTCCATCTCGACGTCACAGCTGCTGTGACCATCTAGTGCACATTACTCGTGACTCATACTCACGTTTGTTCCCCACAAAACCGTCTAATAAAGCGTTCCCTGCGCGAGATTAGTTAAGTTGGGGATAGCAAATGAACGATGAGGACGAGCGCAGTGACGATGCATTTTTTTACCGCTTGATTTGTTTCATCAGATCGCAGGAGTATAAGAAGCGCTGACCTACGACCTAATAGAGCTGACGTCACATCATGTTGAAATCGTCCGCGGAAATGTGAGATAACTTCGTGCTTGCGTTGAAGGGAAGGTGAAAAAAACATGAGACTGGAGAGAAGGTAAGCGGAACTGTCAAAGCAGATAAGATAATGGATTAAAATTGATGGTTAGGCCAGTTGGGTAAGCATCTTAATTACAAAAGCGCAAAGGACAAGGACAGAACAAAGATATGAACAGGGCGAGCGCTTACTATCAACTGATTGTTTAATGCATACTGAGAGAAAGACGGAAATGAGAGGAGAAACACTAAATTAAAATACTAAATGCATTCGCACAAAAACGTTTTCAAAACTATTTAAAAATTAAAAAATATATATATATAAAAAAATAACGAAATTAAAATGAAAAAGGAGAGCGATAGAAAAGGAAAAGCAGCCAGATAAAAAAAAACAGGTCGAGCTACCCTCTCTCTTTCTCGGACAATAATTCTGATGGTGCGCTAATGCACGTGTCTCCTTTTTATACCATAGTTTTTGCCTAAAAACTTTCTCTGGCTCTCTTGCTCCGAAAGCGATTCAGGATTTTTGTTTGATTAAATAGAGGGGTTCAATTTACTGTCTCTGACATGTATGGCCAGGTGTCCTGATGGTGACGAATCTAGGGAAAGGTCATGCACTCGTAGTTGTACATTTACGCAGTGCCCAGATTGACCAACGTACTCTCCCACATGCGCACAGAATTTCTTATACGATGTTGACGTTGGGGTTGACATATCTATGTGCGTGCAGGACTGAGCATTTTTCTTGTCGTTCGTTTGGGGAGTTGATTTTCGGACACAGTTTTTTTAAGTTTATCAGGAGCTGATGTTACAACCTGTATGTGATACAGGTTGTATGAAATACAGTTGTTTTTTGTGTGCGAATGCATTTAGCCTTTTAATATAGTATTTCTCTTCTCATTTTCGTCTTTCTCTTAGTATGCATTAAACAATCAGTTGATAGTAAGCGCTTGTCCTGTTCATATCTTTGTTCTGCCCTTGTACTTTGCGCATTTGTAATTAAGCGGGTAAGATAAAACTAGACAGTGCATCAGACGTGGAGGGCGGATACGTCTCGTTTCATCTGGGCACAATAAAACCTGTAGATGGAAGGATACGGAGATGTTGTCACGTTGGTTTAGGCTGGAACATCAAAGACGTGCGTGCGCTCAGCGGCAGCCAACAGTGAGTTTTAGTATTGCGTATACGGGTGAACGCGTGCGTTTGCGTTAGTGTTGCGTGTTACACACTGCGCGTGCGCGGAGCCCGAACTGCGGCCTTGGATTGGTGCATGGCGACTTCGCGCATGCGCATCGTGGAGAACGCAACTCTAACGCAAACGCACAGTGCTTGCGTTTGCTCGTATACGCAATACTAAAGCTAACTAGTAACAGGTTCGAGTTGATTTCGATTCATCGAACAAACCGTCATCTGCATAGTTGTTGCTTATGAAAAACGCAGCGGACGCTGACTTGAGTCTGAGTCTTCCAGGCACACACCGCCGTGTCTAGCGTTGCCGCGTTCTTCTTTTGCAGCCTTTTTGTTTCTTGAAACTTCCACAGTTGGGGAATTGGACTCAAAGTGTCTCGAAGACCTCTTTTTTTTTCCTCTTCTATTTGTTTTTTCACAGTTGCGTTGCGTGACTGGAGATGCTTGTGGTGCAGGTGTTTGGTAGCTTTTTTCTAGGACAATGGATCTTTTTCAAGAAGGGTTCTGTACATGCGCAGGCCTTCCTCCCGCGGTGGCGAGAGCTCTAACTTCAGTTGACGTCCGGAAGAATGGTTGCACTACCTCTCCTGCCTCTTCCGCGACTCGGATCAGCCGCAGAGAAGGCAGGAAAGGTATCGCAGCTCCCATTCCTTCCACCAACCGCAGTCGGAGTTTTAGCCACTTGGTGTCGTCTTTGTGTGAAAAAGGTCCATCCTCTTCGACCCACTTTTAAGGGCTAATTCAAAGTTAGCTTCCGCGCAATTTGGCATTAAGATATCTCTCGACACGCCAGGTTCTCTTTAGTTTGTAAAGTCTGTTCCCAGGCATATCTGCGCAACCTTTCTTAAAACATAATGCATGAGAGTGCTTCGTACCTACATTTATCGAATATAAATAAATGTCCCGCTTTATGCTTCCCTTTTTGCATGACGCTCTTCTTTACTACCTCCGCTTCCCACTTTCGGTGAGCATTTCTAATGGCAGTCTCGTTCTAGACTATCTTTTGATACCTTGACATAAAAAGATAGCCCCAACTGCTATTATTACTACTTTTAGATCACGGCTACTGCTGTGGTAAGACCGACTATTATCCAGCAGTCGCTATGGCACCACCTCTCGTCCCGTGATACTGAAGCAATTGATCTGATTACGCTGGGAAGAAAGTAAAAACGACGGTTCTATCTCCTGAATCCCACGGAAGACTTAGGCGAGGTTTGGAACTTCTATTAACAATACACAGATCTGAAACTTAATATTGAGGAGGGTATATGTTCAACTTTGCAACGTTTAGAAACAAAATTTGCGGTACACATCTGGAAATCGAATATTCAAATTTGTTTTGAAATCTTTATCACGAGAGCTCTCTCTCTAAGGCAGTAACAAAGCAGCCTTTAAAGATATTAAATAAAATGTTTTCAGAGAAAGCATTTTTTAAGTATAGTGTAGTCTGTCATGCGTGAGATTCTCAGTTCGATCGTCTAGGTCGATCTCTTCTGTTGTTGTAAAAACAAAATGTTCGGAACCAGCAAAATATTTTTGTTTTGCAATGCACACGCAAGAAACTGTACACAAACGACATTTTTGTTTAATGTTTTCATTGCTTTATTTCGGAAGTGTTTCGTGAAAATGTTGAAAAAATATGAGTTCTAAGCTTGATGTAAGCATCTCTTAAGGCACAAAACCATAAAATAAAAAAGAGTCAGTGCACAATATACCAAAACGCCGAAACTAAATGCAAATAATTTTTTTATTTCAAGTCTTCAAATATGAATACTTGTTTGTGACGCACATACCAAATTGAGACCACGATCTTTCCCTCCCCAGTTTTCCCTTCACATGTCTTCCTTTTTTTTTTGGCACTAACGTTAGGGCAGTCTGGGGAGAAGAAAGGTTTAAGCAGCGTATGGTGTTGTTGTTTAGAAAGGAAATGCAAGGCTGTGGCTCGCGAAATACACGCACGGTTCCTAAAATTGTAAACATTTCTGAAAGAACTTCGCATGGTGAAATTCTAGGCATTAAGGGGAGTGTTTGCTAAGATTTCTCCGTTGGAATTTTCACGGTGAGCTCCGGATGCCGCCCTGAAAATGCACAAAACGAACATGATTAGGTACAGAGTGTTAGGACGCAACTGCGGGGTCTGGTGATGGTTGAGCATAATAGACTAATACCCCAAGATAGGGAGTACGAGCGAGCCTTTTGCTTCATGTCGTCTACCATTCTCCCTAGTTTTGAGTTTTCGACCATTATGATTGGGTACTCGGGTATTGGCGACGTGCTGGACTAAATAACCACCCTATGGTGAATCTTCCATGATTGGTCAAGCGCTCCCAGTGACGTGTTTCGTAGGATTAGTTCTGCATCATTCGACGCAAAGAATCATGTCCTTAAACGAACACCATCAGCTTTGACGGTGTTGGTTTAAGCAAACGTATTTGTTTTAAGGACGCTACGACTAAATTTTTTCCATTATGCTTTTCTACACACCACATCGAACTTGCCGTCAAGAGCTGATAATCTTGGTCGCCATGGCAGCGGTAGGAACTGAAACCGGGGCCATCGAAACAACTTTCTGACAACATAATAATACGGTAAAATAGGTGTGCAGAGCTCCACTAACCTGAGAGTAAACTTGAACTTTCAATATATAACTTTATAAATTGCAGAGAGCAAAAAATAAAAAAATAAAATAAAGAAAGAAAGAATAGAGAAGCCACTTTTTTTTTATTTAATATATCTCTAGCGTTTTTTCGGGCATTGTATGAGGGAGGAGTACACGTTTTTCGACAAGAATACTGAAACAATAAATTTAATACATATTTGCTTCGAGGCAAGAAACAATGCAAATATGCCTACTCAAAAAGAAGTACACTCCTACACAAACAAAAATAATGCAATATACCCACTAAAAACTTTTAATGCTCTAGGATTAAAATGTATCGAACATATTGTGCATATGCTACGAAGCAAATCTACCGCCAGGCAATGTAGTATAGTAACTATCGTTGATATACAGGCTCGTCCGAGGAATATAATGGACGTGACTCAAAAGGGCGAAAAACGCAAATCACTTAGTTAGATACACTAAAATCTTTTACCATATTATTTTAAAATCCCTCCTGATCTGTGCTTATAGGTTAAACAGACTAGCAGACTTGCCGACGATTAAGAACGTTAGGATGTATTGGAAGTGGAAAACCTGCCGTCGGACGATTAGCTCTAATTTGTAATGTTTGGAAGCATGTCCCATAAATGTATTAAAATCCTAAGATTAAAATTTTCCATTTTAAGTGATAAAAGTAAAAAGAAACAGCTGCGGGGGATACTCTCAATTGTATCATTGCCACAGACAAATATGCTAGAAATAGATAAGTGATATCTTGTTGCATAAATTATGCGTCTATGGTATAGTCTCATCTATCACAGTTGATATTTATTATACAATGTTTCGCTGCAATTTGTTATAAACCAATCCATTGAACAATATAGAAAAGTATGTACGGGTAGCAGTTTACAATCTAAATTTAACCTGGGCGCTAGTAAAGAAATGAAATAAACAAAACACAGGCAGTAAAGATACAAAAATTATGACCAAACATTTTAACCTAAGTTTTACACTGGGAGTTTGTGATAATAAAAAAAATAATCTTATCTTTTGTGAATATGCGTTATTTTATGTTTAATAAGTATGATAGCTTTTGGCAAAAAGTTTACGTCAAAATGTTCCTGGTGCAATTCAGGGTGAAGCTAACAATTTACGTAGAAAGTCAATGCGGGAAGAAAATCTTATTTTGTTATGAAGTATTCAATTACTCTAACGCAAATTTTTATTGATCAATACCCCGATGATTTTAATCAGTGACGATTTGAAAAGAATATGAGTGTCTCACCGGCTAGAGAGAACAGTTGCAGTAAGTATAATAAAATAAATTATTATTTTATTAATTACGTCCTCTCTTATCAGTGTAATAGTTGCTGGTATTACCTTTTTAATAACTATGCTTTATACGCAAACACTCTTTTTGTGTTCTTGATATTTTCTTGCTTTCTGTAGCATTTCCGCTGTTTTCTGATATTCTGTAGCATTTCCGCTGTTTTCTGCCATTCTGTGAGGGAAGTCATCAAGCTGCAAACGAAGGAACTTTTTGCATTGCCTTCCCCCTTTTTTGTGTGTTATGCAAAAGAAAACAAAAAAATATTTATTATTATTATTATTATTCCGACGTTAACTCTGCCACATCTGAATCCCTTAATAAATTTATTATTTTTTGTTATTAATATGAATATTGCAAGCCACTGGCCAACTTACGCGTGTGTCTGTGTTTTAATTTCTTTTTTTAATCAGTTATTTTGTTTATTTCTGTATTTTTTTATTATAAGCCTATCGCTTGGACTAGAACAGCCTTAAAAAAACATTATCTACTAAACTTTTTTGACGCCTGACCTTTTTTTTATATGATACCTACTGCTATTGATTCACTGCGACTTTGGTTTAGTCATACAAACCCTTGCTGGTTTTGATGAACCTGCGTTGTTCGTTGGAAATGCGCCCATCCCTCATCAATAAATATTTGTTTTTTATTTAATATTATTATTATTAATATTACTATTAATATTATTTTATTCTACTAATCACTCCAGTACTGCCTAGTATTATGCTTAAAAATTTATCTTCTTTTCTGCGGATATGTGTATATAATGTATTTTTATACACCAGTGTACCAGCACCAAAACATCAGCGTTGTTCCTGTGCACTGTACAATATTGATTGATTGATTGATTGATATTTTATAGCCACCAAAAACTTAAGAAATGATTCTGTTTTCCGTATTAAAATTTGACATTTCGTTTTTCTTTATATATTTATTTTATGGTTAGTTCTCAAATCATATCCGCTGCAGAGTGATAATAACATGCTCGGAACTGGACACACCTTACGTTTCTGGATCCGTCAGTTACCATAAGTATTGAAAGCATGCCTCAAAGCGAGATATTTTGCGCTTGAGCAAATATGTCTAGAAACTTGACCTTTGGGTGTGATTAACTTAGAATCTCACGATCCTCGTTAAGCGCGCTTCAAGATCAGACATATCTCTTTGACACATGTTCCAACAATCGCCATGGCATGAAGATAAGTTTTGATGTGTAAGGGCTTTGTGGGTGATGCTAGTCGCATGACAGATAAAAAGGAAAGGAAGCGGGACAAGTCACTTCAGAAACGATGCCGGTAATTGTAATGATAAGGAAACCTTGATCTTTTTTTTTCTTAATAAATTGATTAAGAGAAAAAAAACGACGCACTTTTTTCTGCAGCCATTTTCTTTGCCACATGAGGGAAACAACGGGCAGAAGCAGATACTCTGACCAAGGGCAAACGTTTCTCCGTCTTCCATTGTCTGCGGAAGAACCTGGTTGATGGTATCCGGCAGGAAGAAGAGCAGCACGGACGCCGTTGCCGATAACGTGCCCATCACAATCATTGGAAGGTAGGTGTCATACTCCGCCTGCGGTAAAACAAAAAGAAAGCTGTGCGCCTTTCGCCTTTTAGTAGATTTTCTTAGAGAGACCTTGAACATCCTCAAAAGATATTTCACAGCATAAATAAAACACAAATGTTACAAAAAAAAAAGTCACAAAAAGAAGAAAAAAAAGCGCGAAATATAAGTCGCAAGACTAATTTACATCATCCAGACACATTCTGTGTTTTGTGTTTCTTTCCTGTTCTTTGTTGTTCGAATACTCTTTTAGCAGTACCTATTGGAATGAATTTTCAGCCGTGCTTGAGGCTTCGGGCTTTTGCTTTTCTTATCTTGTCTCAGTCTCCGGGCTCTTCCAGATTGTGTTCAATGTGCACCAACTCGTTTGCGTCCTTATTATTTGATCTCTGCTCGCCATGATTGGCTGTCTCCAAGATCTGCAGGAAAGCTAACTTGCAGAGCAATAAACAAGGCTACAATCGAGATAGTGTGCATTGAACATAATTACGAAAAACATGGAGTTTATACTCAGTTTTACCTTAAGTCCGGACGCAGCCGACGCCACGAGCATAAGGGATCAATCAGAAAGTGTCAAAAGCGCTTCAGGGTGTTGTTCGTCATGTTTCTGTGCGTGTTCTATCATCGCTGAGCCTATTCTGAACTGAAAAAGCCCAGCGCCTTGCAATTTTCAAGCTGTCTGATTGATCCCATTACCTCGACATGAAGTCTTAAACGCACCTGAAAACATACTTTACAAGTAACTTCTTAGGTGATTATATTCCTAACGAGTATACTTCTAGCAAAAATATTAAATCAGAAAGGGCACGAGACACATATCGTCGCATCGTTTCATGAAGCCTCTGTCTGCGTCTCGACTTCTTTCAGTGTTATTATTTCTGCTAGAGATAACTATTAGATATAGTCTGAACACAAAGACAGGAATGGACACACAAGACAGAAAGACAACACAAAAGAAGCCATCGGGGCTTATTCCAATTATGAACTCACATACTTAGAGTGCATTGTGAAAACTGAAGCACCGGCTTGTCCGTACCAGTGACGCGACCTGGGCTCCGAGGAGGCCCCCAATGTCCCCGATGAGCCTCTGGAGCAGCACCGCTCTGCCCCGGATGACCGTCGGGAAGACCTCGGAGGTCAGCTGGTAGGTAACATTGTAGCCTCCGGCGAAGGACATAATGCCCACCACGGCCATCACCAGAGTCCAGAGCTCCGACTCTTTAGACAAGAGGGAAAAAGTTGGAAGTTAACTTTCTTGTTGGACAAGAAACTCACTGTTAAGCCAGTTATTAAATTAATTCAGTAGAAAATAGCTTAGTAAGGCATGCAATCGTGCAAAAACGCGGTATACTGTTTTTACCCACATAACTTCTGTAAACATGGGAGATAGAAGACCTGACCTAAAGCTTATCGTATCCTATCCTGTCCTATATTATCCTATCGTATCCTGTCCTATCCTGTCCTATCCTGGCCTATCCTGGCCTATCCTGGCCTATCCTGGCCTATCCTATCCTATTCTACCCTTTCCAGCCTAGACTATCCCATTCTGTCCTAGCAGCCTAACTTAAACTAACCTAACGTTACCTAGCCTTATAGAAATTTTCGTGGAACATTAGATTATTATATTCAAATAATCATTTTTGCTCTCCCATGAATAGGCGCTACACAAACAAAAGTCAAATTGCGTGAGTAAAATACTTAAATACTGTTCAAATGACTCGCATAAAATGTTGAATGCTTGTTGAGCTTGTTGACAGAAATATTCGAGTCAAAATACATTGCATTTGAGGGCGTTCGTAGCAGAGAAAGTTATTGTGCTAAAATTCAACAGCGCAAATCATCGAAAATCACGTCAAATCGCTGCAATACATTTTTTTTCCGAGAGAAGAGACTAGAGTCGTTTATTTTTACATACATTACAAAATAGCGACTTTTACTTTCTTTATACATGAATTATCGAAACAAAAAAAAAAAAAAAAAAAAAAAACTGTGACTTCAATTTACACTGTGAAGGTGGTTAGACAGCGAAGCTGTATACGACACCCACAAAGATTACCCATTGCGACGTCACTTGAAAATTCACACACGTGGCTCTAAAAAGAGTGCAACCAGAGACAAATGAAATGTACTTAACCACACCCTTTATTGCTTCACAACGACATCCATGACTACTTTATTATCAGTGTAATACACACTAAGATTTTCAGTTCTCACTGTAGAGATATTCTTTGCTAAGGTTAAATCACTGCATGATCCATGAATGGTGGCTGGTTGAATTGCATTGCTGAGGTACATGTTATAAATGAAAGCGTGGTGACGTAACTACGTGATTTCTATGCTGTTGGGTACTTTTACACTCGGAGTAGCTTACGCGACCGTAATCTTTACCAGGAAACACACGCGGGGAGAAGGCAGGTGCTTCGCATTGTTCGCAGGTGCCGTTATCATCCGTTATGCGGTTTGCACTTCACACGAGGGCTTCGAATGACGTCAACCCCTTTCGAAGCTGCTGCAAACCTAATCTTTACAGGAACACGTGGGAGGGTGTTCCTATTGTGCACACGCGCCTTATCATCTATCATGTGGTTTTGATGCTTGTTTTGTGGCTTTCTTTATTGAAATGGATACTGAACTGTATGCTGTATGCCTGATTTCAAAGAAGACGTGCTGTTTCACCTTCAATTGTTCGCCGGGAGCTTTTTCTTACAACGCCAACGACACGAAAACTTCCTTGGCTGGCAGAGGTATACATCTTCGCTGTAAAAGTAATGAATTTGTTGGTGCTTTAAGTTGTGGATTTCATCTAATGATGTTAAAACATTGGCCAGTTGTAGCGCTCCCATCTTCTGACAACTGAGGGGACAGTGGTTTGTCAGGTGGCACGTGCGGTAATGTGGCGGTGCCGAGTGTACACAAGCCACCGTCAAGTCCCTCATATACAGAGCAGTTTTCGTAAAATTTGTATCTACGCTGAGCGAAAATTTGTCTGCTTCTTGCGCGGGGGTTGCGGTGACGTCAGAACGCCGAGCTCTGATTGGCTCTGATGGAGGAGTAGTGACTTGCGCTCCGCATAGTCGCTGAAAGCTTAAGCAGCGCAGGGTCTGACGAGCTCGCCGCATCTCATTATCACTCCGCAGCCAATGAGAGTGCGGCATTCGCCGACAAGAACGCCCAAGAGCCAATCACGAAGCGCGAGCATAATAAGCCACGTTTCGCGTTTCTTACACTGTATGCGAGTTGTAGTGTCTTGAACCTCCACCAGGAAGTAAGGATTACACTCACCGGTGCGCAAGAAACCCATGAGCAAGCATACCACTCCCCCGGTGAGCATGAAAAAGGTGTTGGGCCAGCGACGACCCAGGGTGTCTAACGCAAGGATGCACAGGATGTTCACGGGGATCTCGAATGCGATGGCGATCGAGTAAGTGGAGTAGATGTTCAGCCCCAACTTCGCCAACTGGAGCGTGATTGTGTTGTAGCAGAGCGAGATGACAAACCTAGGCAAGCGGAGAGAAAAAAACGTTTGATACAAAACTTCTCGCTGCAAATTGATTGGTGATTCGGAAAACGGCGCGTCAAATTCTTCATTCTTTTTTTTTTTTGACAATTGGGTAACGTTGCACCAATATGACAATTAATATTTTGAAGGCGTTAGATTTACTTTTTAATTATGAGGCTTGGGTTTTATTTTTAAACTGTAGTCAATGAATCACTAAGATCATGAGAACGGCAGGACGTGTTTTTCAAACACCATGTTTCCAACACGCACTCCAAGCCTTCTGTCGCGCTTTGGGTACACGTGCCCGCTCGAGGTGAACGAACCCCCGAAGCGCTGTCGAAGGTATGAGATGCTCGCGCTTCGAGGCGCGGCAACTGAAGATCATCTCTGTCGTTTTTACCTTGCCAGCGACTATGGTAAGTATGTAAATTGCCTCATTAAAGCGCTGAGCTAAATTGCAGGCACCACCGCACCGAACAGTATTGAAATAGACAAAGCTTAATATAGCTGTACTCTATAAAACCAATTTGATAAATTATCGATTTTGTATATGGGAATTTGCACCGCACCTGCTAAACATTTGACATAATCCTTCTCTTTTATGCCCCTTCGAGAATGTTTTGCGGATTCATCGAACACAGAAGCGTCTGCTGCAACCAATGAGTGTCATATCGAAGAGCTACGCTTTGTTGCCAGTAAGCACATAGAATGCGTCAACGCAGTTTCACTAGACGATAAAGTTGGTTCATAACTGCAACTCTAAACTTCTAGTTAACACAACAAACGGGCATGCAGCCAAAAGTGATATGTGATAACCACGGAAAACGCGTAGCAGAGAAATTCGAGACAGTCTTCCGTGCCTGTAGAAGTTCACGTCAAGACTGTTGATGATACATCGACTGTGCCTACGTGACGCGAGATAACCAACCAATCTATTAAACAACGATACGTACCACCCGATATAGATGAGAAACATGATTTTTCTGATCCTCGGGGACCTTATCATGACTAGTGTGCTTTTCCATAGGCTGACTGTTTTCGCCGATGTCCCTCGCAAGTCACCGCCATTAACAGTGTTCTGTGGACGAAGGCACAGGTCTGATTAAATCCTCGTGCCACTTTTATGTGACGTTGAGTACATAATTTCTTTTTGTATGTAACAAGTTCTACCAGCTGGTGCTTACCTCGAGGAGTTTGCTGAGTCGTTCTTGGGAAACTGTCTTGCCGTTGAACTTTGCGATCTTTTCAAGAATGCCTAAAGCTTCCTTTGTGCGGTTCACGGCGAGTAGCCAACTAGACGACTCTGGAACCCAACTGAGAGAGAGCATACAAGTCGTCTTGTATAAGTATGCTGTTTATAGGCTACTTCCTTTTATCAGTATTAGTGCATTTGTCTGTGGGGGGGGGGGGGGGGGGGGGGGGGGGGTAACAAAACTGCCAATGATTACTGCTGCGTTACCCCGTACACAAATAACTTAGTAATATTTCAGTTATGCCCTTTTTGTTATAGGCTTTACCAATTCCGTACAATGGATACATTGGTTTATCTTAAATCGTCTATGATGAAAACTCGTTTGTTATTTAGTGATTTGGTAGTCATTTACTTTGCCTCTTTGATAGCATTGCACCGAAAGATGAGGGAAATAAACATCGTGGTTATAATCGGAGACAAGAACGAATGAAGGAGACAAAGGACAAACACACACCTCTATACCTGTTAGAATCATATGTAACGTTACCCTTCACTCCCCCCCCCCCCCCCCCTTTATTAACCTTGTCTTCTTTGGTTTTAATTCTTCGATCCTGGAGAGGTGTTGGATAAAAGTAAACTTTTTGATTTTTTCTGTGTGAGTGACAATTCGAAGGAACAATAAATACTGAACGTAGAGGTAAGTACGAGACCATGCAGATTCTTTGAATTTAAAGTATTTCGTCCAGCGTGCGGTGAATTGTGACATTTGGATACACGGATATTAGATACACGCACAGACACGAATATATTTATATAACACTACGAGTTGATTTCGTGTTTCTTTTGCTTACGGGAGGACCCTTGAAGCCGCAGTGCCACTGCTCGAACATCATATACAAAAGTCGCGGAGTTTCTTTGCAGATATTATGAAAAGAATATCTGCGGACACAGCTCAAGTATTGTTCGAAGTACGTTTGCTTCATACAGGTGTGTATGAAGCACACATGTCTGCGGAGAGTTTCAGACAGTGTCTGCGGACTGGCGTTTGTATGATGTCCTAGCGATATGGCCACCGCATAACGCGCTTGGATAGGCTTGAGACTGACTTTTGGTAGAGCAATCAAACACCGTGCATACCAGAAGGTGAGAGCCAGAAGAACGTCCAGACAGACTCCAGTGACGAAGAGTCCCCTCCAGCTTCGTATCAGGAAGGCGTACCAGGGGAGCAGGCAGGCCAGGGAAGTGAAGCTCATGGCCCAAAGGAAAGTGACGAGGGTTCTCCTTTCCGATATCGTGTACTCAATGACTGCGCGGAACAGAAAGAAAGTCGGTAAGGGAACCTCGGTGATGGGTCAAGAAATTGTACGCTAGTCGGACGAGAATTGAAAAAAAAAAGAAGAAAAAAGGCAAATTGCGTTCTTTTTTTTTTAGCCCCGTGGTCAAATTTTATTGACAATGGCGGCCGCTAAAGAAGACGTGAAGCGACTGATTAGTCGGCTAATTAACTAAAACAAATATTTAACTTTATCAATTTTTGTTTCTGGAGGCATAAGGCGGTTTAGCCGCGCCATGATTTTTTAAACGAAAATTGCATAGTGGGTGTTAGAAAACCATGAAAAGGGTGAACATTAAATTTCTAAATGATTTAAATAATTATTTAAATCACGATCTAAGTCACACCCACCGGTTTTAGTATGATGAGTTAAATCAAATCTTCTCCACGTAGAAAAACACAAATATATTTTTATTGATCCTTGCCTATGCTTTGTCTGTCAAATAACTAAGAAAATGAAAGGAAAGCTGTCTCAAAGCTGTTTCAATTTGCTGAAGTATAAAAGCAGTATAGTTTTTTCATGAAGTAAAAATCAAGCTGCTTTTGTTTAAGTACGGCGTAATATACATCAAGAATAGAAAGTTCTTGAGGAAACGGCGCATTATGATGTAATTAACTTGACAGTCCATTTTCCTGGCACACTGCTCTCAGTCTTTGGGTGCATTGAAGAGTGAATCAGCTGGCCATGTCTACAAATTGTAACGGGGTAAAAAAAACGCTCTTTCATAGACACGGTGATTTAAAACAAATACCTCCAGTCCAAATAAAATAAATTTATTTAAATCAAATTAACTTCATTTAAGTCAAATAAATATGACATTTGTTTCAAAGGATCCTGATTTTTATCCGACCTGGACAAAAATGACATTCTTGTGACAAAAAGTTCAGTTGGGCTAGTTGGTTCATGGCTGGATAGAAGCGCCGAGGGGCAGGCACAATGCACAGAAAGTAAAGACGACACGGAGTGCACTCGCTACTGAAAGTTTATTAAAAAATAGACTATCTTACAAACCTTAATAAAACCACGTCACTTCTAGCGACCCCCTTTCTCTCTCTCTCTCTCTCTCTCTCTAAAAATAACATTTTCTTATCTAAAGGCCACACAAGGCTCACTGATACACTTATCGGCGCCCCTAGTTTTGATGGCAAACGCTTCGTCAATTTCTTTAGTTTTTTTTCCGCTCTGCCGCCCCAGGGTGATTGCGTTGGACAGCAAGAGGGTGCAAGGGCATCGATCGCATTGCACTGCCAAATGCCCATACAGCCTCTGTTTTAAAGCTGCTGCATGTTCTCTCGCACGGTCATTTACACAGCGGCGTGTTTGCCCTACGTATGTGCGCCCGTAGTATTGTGGAATGTCGTGTTCCTTGGTTCTCGTGTTATTTGGGGGTTCCTTTTTGCATTCGTCACAATCCCGCATTGATTCTTTTGCGCAGTGCCGAAAGTTTATTTGGGGCCGAAGAAGCAACCGGAGCGTTGTAACGCCCGGCAACTTTTTTCAAGTTGTGGGAAATAGAGTGAAGGTAAAAAATGATGGCCGGTCATATTTTTTCCGTTCATAAAGTTTTTTGTGGAGCACTGTCATGCATGTGGCATGCACGAGGCAGCGGATTCAGCGCGCGCCGTCGCCGACGGGTTATCGGGCTTTGTGATTGTTATATTTTTGTTACCCGTGGTGTGCGCTGATTGGTGCGACGAGAAAAAGACGAAGTGACGACGGAAGGACCGAGGCTGGAGACGGTGCGCGAGGAGAGAAAAGGAACGCGGTAGGCTGGAGCTGGTGCAAGCACGACTTCGAACCGGAATAAAACGCTTTCCCCCCCAAAAGGCTGGCTCCCTGCCTTCCCGGGTCCCACGGCGCCCAAACCACAAGCCGTGACTAGCACCTCTATATTTTCTTTGCATACTATCCGTCTTATCAGTCAGGGACTTCAGCGGAAAACCCGCACAGAATTAGCGATTGACCTATAACTGCAAGCTCCTGCCTATAACATGGTTACATGATATGGGCAGGAGCCCATTTCATGTTGATTGGCCGTACTGCCGGCCAACACCCGGAAACGCTTGAAGATTAGAGTTGTTGTTGACCACTTCAAACGCAATAACCTCAAGCTACGAGCGTCCGATAAGAAAAAGGGATTTGTCTTCCTGCCTCATGGTCTGTAAGCCGTCAAAGCCAGGGAAGCGGTGATCAAGAAATTCAAGCCGGTGAAGCCTGAATCTCCGAACAAGGCGAAGTCGAGGACCAAAGAAATATGTGCTGTAATTTAGACGTTCCTGTTCTGGTAAAGAAGGTGAACACAAGTAAGACACTTCCCTTGGACATTTTATTGGTGCTATAAACCCGTAAAACGGACGTTCCTTTTAAAACGATAGTGGTGAAAAGAGATTCGTGGCAGTTACCGATTTCTACCTTTCTCAGGACCGACCTGTCGCCACTGAAATTGCATGGCGTGTTTTTGGTACGTAGCTTGGCAAATGGGATAAAATTTTCGTAGAATGAAACTAGAGGGAACTGTGATGCCTTCTGTATTGATGCTAAAAGATCCTTTTTACTGTGTTCCCAATCAGGCTTTCTTTAGTGCAGTAACCATTTATATCAAGAGCAATACAGAAATGGAATTCCGGAGCGCTCGCTATATGAGTGCGGAACGCTTCATTGAACTCCTGTATTTTTTTTATCTTGAACATACGTTTGCGTCTTTTGATGGTGAGGTGTACGTACAAAATCAGGGTATTTGTATTGGTTCAAGAATAGCCGCTATATTGTGTGCATTGTGATCAAGCTATGCTAAAAAAACTGAAAAATGAAAGCGTTTTTAAGATTTTTTAATATGTCGATGATTACCTGGTCATTGTGCTCCCACCTAAGGAGCTCACTGATAACGATGTGGTTGGATTGATGGGTCTTTTTGCAGCCTGCTCTCATGGTTTGAGGTTTACGTATGAGAAAACCTTTGAGGGTTTTTGCAGTTTCTAGGTTTAACTCATGTTTCTAGACGATCACACCTGTAGGGCTTATGAGCCTTGCTCCAAAGAAAAAGTGTGCTGCGTCACGACTCAGCCCATTCAGAACTAGCGAAAAAAGGTATGGCTACGTTCATGCCTGGGAGGTTCATTGGAAATCTATGTCACCATGAAACGGGCAGGATAGGCGATCGAATGTTACAAGTGAATCAACTATTAAGTGCGGGTTTTCCGCACTTAATAGTCATGCAGCGGATTGTCTGAAAAAGAATATAGAGGGGTCCCACAAAACGTTTATGAAGGGCAAAAACTAATATGGGTCATCATTCCTTACCTTCATGCTATCTCCCGCAACTTTAAAAAGTTGCGGGGCGTTACAACGTTCGGGTTGTTTTTTCGGCCCCAAAAAAACTTTCGGTATTGTACGAAATAATCACTGCTTCAGAGAGGGATAGTGAAAAATCTAAAAAGAAAGACCAAAAGATGTTCATGAAATGTACAACCTGTCTTCTACAACATTCCACTAACCATGCTAGAATTCAGCAGGTGTTGATGAAATTAATTCACATATTTTTAAAGCTCTAAATTTTACTCTTTTATAATTAAAGCGAAACGTTTTCAGAAATGTTAAGATTTCTTATGTTTACCTGATGACTGGAAGGTATGGTTGGGTGCTGCCTCTACATAAGGGCGGGCCTAAGCATTCACCCAATAGCTTCCGTCCAATATCTAACCAGCGTTCCCTGCAAAATTTTAGGGCATATTATTCGCCCGAATCCTGCCAAGTTCCTTTACTCAATCACCTTTTTTAACCCACGTCAGCACGGCTTTCGGAAATATTTCTTTTGCGAAACGCCACTTTTATCTTTCACTCATAATCTGCATACCATTTGGGACCGAGGGTTACGGGCGTATTGCGTATTCCTTAATTTTTCTAAAGCTTTCATAAAGTCAGACATCAGTTGTTGCTTTTCAAACTAAGTAAACTTAATGTCGACTCAAACGTAATTGTATTGAGTGTTTTTGTTTTGCATCATCACTCACAATTTGTAACAGTAAATTACTCTAATTATTCTTTAAGCTTCGTTAACTCAAGTGTTCCGAAAGGTTCATATCTAGGCTTCGTCTTTCTCATAAATAGGTATTAACAATCTGTCAGCCTGCCTCTCCTCCTCTGTTTATTTGCTGATGATTGTTTATTTTTCCGAGAAATATTAACCAACAATGATATCAGCCTTTTGCAGTTTGATCTAATCTCAATAGCTAACTGGTGCTATTGAGATTGGATTGGTAATGGAACTAAACGTAACCAAGTGCAAACCAACACGTGTATCCCTTAACACCATGCAAATATATGAAACTACCTTAACACCATGCAAATATATGAAGACCAATGTATAAATACCTTGGCCTTCATATAACGTCTGACCTTTCATGAAACATTTATATAGTGCACGTAATTAACAATGCCAACCGGATGCTCGGCCTCTTAAGGAGAAATTTTCGTCTTGTTCCTTCATCCCTTAAGCTCATTTTTTATAAATCACTGGTTCGATCGAAGTTTGAGTTATACGCAATCTCCGTCTGGGACCCCGGCACGAAGTACCTCATTCAATCATTAGAATCAATTCAAGACAAACATGCACGTTTTATTCTTTCTATCGTCGCACTTCTAGGATAACCTCCATGAAGCTATCATTATCTTTGCGTAATCTTACTTCACGCAGAGAACTTTCTCGCTTGTCTCTTTTTTTTTATAAAGTTTACTCTCCTTCTGGCTTGCGTGAAAACCTACTAACAGCTCCGTCATATATTTCCTGTATAGAGTTTATATCACATGAGCGAATGACGTTTTAGCGAACAACGCCATTTGAGCGAATCGACATTTTAGCGAAAAACAGGGGCGCGTGTTAACCCTTCCCCCCCCCCCCCCCTCCCCCTGCGCTGCGCTCACGCCGCTTTGCGGCGGCAGTCTGCGCTGGCTCATTACAAAAATGTTAA